CCAACATTTATAAAACATTTTTTTCTCTAGAAAACAAGTTCACAGTTTCCTAGTCGTGTCAAATAGTTTTTGGAACATTTCTATTTCTCACGAAAGTTCACAAGATTATCGCCTAGCCGTCCACATTCAGCTGATCTGTACTACTTTACCTCTGTTATCTATGGTGACCTGATACTACATATCAAGGTAGTAGGAGAAACTAAATCCTTCACTAGATCAATCTTCATTAAATATATTGAATGCATAATATTAACCTTTTAGAGTTTAATTTGCCAAATATTACTGAATTACTGCCCATAGGTGATTGTAATCAGAAGCATTTTAGGAATTACAAGCATTCTAATTTATTTTTTGTAATAAAAAGAAAAAATTGTCAAAAGATTACCTAATTATCAGTAGTTTAGGATAGCAAAGATTGCAATATTTTTCTCCTTCAGGTCTTTCCTAAAGTAACAAACTATCCATTTTATTTCTTTAATCGCTCTCATCAACTGTAACGGCTTTAATATTTTTAATAGTTCTGGAAAATCTGTTCATGCCATGTCTGAGCATGAAGTGAATAGGAAGTGGCATGATTAGTCCACTTATTTCCATGAATTGATACCGATTGCTCTAAGACTTATCTCTGAAAGTCTTGAAAATAATTTCAATATGCATGTTGTTAGAGCATTCCCTACCTGTGGTACAACAGCTAATGTTTCTTTAAACGGTATTACAATCAGGTTAATAAAAGCTCCACCGCTGAAGAAAATTTTTTAAAAATGGTTTCTAAAACCAGATATAAAATTTCAACTATTTGAAAAATTTGGAAATTAAATGCCACATAACATTCTTGTAAAAGAGATATCTGTTTAAATATAGGTGATATGCTGATGAATATTATGAGAAAATTAAGTACATTAATTAGTATGTAATAAAAAATCTATGACAGACACATACATGATCACCCGAAAAGCTTAATAAGTGAGAAGCCAGAGGACAGCACGCTGCCTACATTCTTAGAGCCCTGGTTCAGGACTGCAGCTGATGTTAGATCTTATTTGCTGAGACACAGAATTCCAGTCTTCAGAGCTGTGTGGCCAGCAATAATTACTATATAAGTGAATCCCATCTTTATTTAAATTTTCTATATGCGTAACAAAATATAATTAGCTGAAAATGCCAAGGAAGTAGAATTTTAGGTTTTAAATTTCATTTCAGGAAGTTAAATCAAATATAAGTATATTATTAGCGCCTTTTGTCTTTTGCTATTTGACCATTCAGTTAAGTTCCTTGCTATCTATAATCCCTAATTACTATATGTATGAAGCACTCATATGAATTTAAGATAGCTGAGAGTATTTCAAATGGGAGTAATGAAGATCAAGAAAACTACATGTCAAAGAAGAAACATAAAAAAGATATAAAGAACAACTTAGGATCATTTTTCTTTTAAGAAAAAATGATGAGGACATACATCAAAACCTGTGGGAACTCACACTTTATTTTAATGAGAATCAAATGTTTTCTAAATATTTTGAAGATGAGTTTCATTATAAAACAACTCCCTTGATTAAATGAAAATAAATAAATAACAGAGAAACACTACAATTTATCCTCTACCCAATTCTGTCCCTAATAACAATAGCCACTATTCTCTAAATTCTTACAGACATAAAATTCATATCACTAAAAACAAAGGTAATTGTACCATTATATAAAAATGTTATAAGAAATATTATTGTTTTATATAATGTAGAATTGTCTTTATCACAGGGGTTAAAGTAACTGATGCAAGTAACAAAACAAGCATATTAATTTGTAAATTTTATTAAGAGCAACATAGTCACCAGTCTAATGTAATGCATGCAAATCACAATAAATTTGTGTGACTTGAGCTGTTGACTCTGCTACTTAGTGTTCAACCTAATGTGTTAGTGGAAATTTCACATTCAAATAGCCTGCTGATTTATTTTTCTTTTAAATGGATGAAATGTTTACTTTGAAATGAAGAAAATATGAATTTGGATATTAAAATCTATGATTAAATGCTGAATTTTCTTCATCAAACTTAACTCAAATTTGATGAGGAAAATCATCTAAATGTAAATGAGAAATGTGTATACATTATTATTCCATTGATCATGAAGGAATGTGTATCATGTGTTTGGCCAAGATATACACAGTAAACCAAATGTCGTGAAAGGTATAATTATGCCATTTAAAAGCTAATTTGTGCAATTTTATGCATTTCGTGTCATAAGTAGATCACACATCTAAACTAGAATTATTTTATTTTTATAGCATTAAGAATTATGTATAAAAAGTCCTAGGCTAGAGAAATTAAAAAGAAAACATAAACTGACCAGCTTACAATTTTTACTCATCTTTGTGTGGGATTCATTCTGGCATCCCAAAGTCCATTTAATTACATTACTGCAAATATGAGTATGGTCTTGTCATAAAAGGCTGTGCAGTAATAAATGGTTGTGTTAGCATGCTTATCGTCTAAACTTCCCCAGAGACCCTGCCGCTGAAACCCTCAGCTGACCCCATCAACAGGCAGGTGGCAGTTGATCAATTCAAAACAAAGTTACTGGGAGAATAATTTCAATTACAAGGATTTTGCTGCCTATAGCATAGACAGAAGAGAGCAGAGGTCATCCATCTTTCTGAATATGTGTGCCAAGTAGTATTTATTTCTTGCTCTTATAAGGAATAGGGAAAGAGGCATTACTGGGAAACTCCAAAAGGACTCTGGAGCTGCAATTTCTCATCATTCCTAGCACTTGGGTCACAGTTAGGAAAGTGTAGATGCAGGAAAAGAGTCTGGTGCTCCCTTGCATCTCAGGACTTTCTGGAGTTTTTATTAAAATAAAAGTTCCGCGATCAGCCCTACTCATATGGCACTTTAATTAGCAGCTTAGCTTAGTAAGAAACTGGCATCAAAGACAGGAAGTTGTTAATGTCTGGAATTTGGAATGGAGGAGTGCTTAGAAGGAAAGTATATACTGGCCAAACCCACTTCGTGCCTCTTGTACCTCAATCAAGATTAGGGGGTAAATTATAGGGAAGTTCCTTTGTTATAAATAATACAGGTATGGACCCCACACTCAATCCCATATCTAGATTTTCAGAAAGTTTAGAATTAAAATTTAAATGCTAGTTGCAAGAATTATCCTTTTCTTAGGGCAAAACTACCCTCCTCATGATCTCATGGCTCTTGGTCTTTCATTTTAGATTCATTGTGTTAATGTGCATGTATTACTTATTATGAAATGCTTCTAACACTTTTTAGAAGGAGATTATATATAAATAATAAATAACCTTTTTTACTAGATTTATCTTCATAAGTTTTTTTTTTTTTTTTAATACAGTTTCAGCCCTCTGTCAGCTATAGACTTGGACATGTTTTATTATTAGGAAGCTAAAAGAATTGTTCTTTTGTATATCTATACCAGCACACTGTTCGTGAAGAAACGATGGTAGCAATGACTGAAGACATGCCTTTGGAAATTTCTTATGTGCCTTCTACTTACCTGACTGAGATCACTCATGTCTCACAAGCTCTATCAGAAGTGGAACAACTTCTCAATGCTCCTGACCTCTGTGCTAAAGATTTTGAAGATCTTTTTAAACAAGAGGAGTCGCTGAAGGTAAAAGTAAAGCACTTTCATTTAAATTTTACAAGATGATCATACTGATCATTTATAGCACCCGAAGAGTTGACTTATATTGTACGCTTAGTGAAGGCATTTTGACTTACACGTGGAATTCTTAAAAATGCTTTATAGGATGGTTAGCTTTAGAAATCTGGGGGTATATAGATATAAACTAGAAGAGGCACTTTATAATATTTAGTGTTGAGAGAATTCCTAAACAAAAGAATACGCAAAAATAATAGTTTTCACATACATTCAGGGCAGAAAGGAATCACCAAAAAAGCAAGTTTCGATAGAGGAATAGTTTATTCCCAGCCAATACATTACATTCCTTTCTTTTCCCCAAAAAGGGAAAATTAAATGAGATTTTAAATTTTATCTATTGTTCATTGAGTTTTATATTTTCTGCTTATACATATTCAATTTCAAATTAATTCAACACCTATATGATAACATATGGAATATAATTGAACAGAAATCAATCAAATATTTTATTTAAAACTGCCAGCCAAAGGCTACCAATGAAATCGGGCTTTTTTGAAACCTCTAACAGCAAGTCACTGAACTCTGAACTAAGACAAATCATGATGAGGGAATAGGCTATGAAATTTAGAAGACAGTGTCTAAAGATAAATGAATGTAGCATCAAGAAAATGTACATAATAATGTGTGTCTCAAGATAATTTTTGTGATCATACATTTCACACTCAGAATGAAATATTATAGCATAACCAGAGCTTGGTGTTTTCCAATGCAAACAGCACAGGGTTATAGACAGAAGATGAGTTTGCTATCAGCAGCACATATTAGCTAAAGTATTTTATACTCTAAATGATTTCTTAGGAGCTCATTCCATATCACACATTTGCCTGTATAAGTATATAAATAGCTAAAGCTATTTGTTTATTTTGGAAATTGGTGTTTCAGTATCTTGAGTGACTTGACTTTAATGTCTTACATTATATCAAATAAGCTATAAAATTACACACTAAAATAAAATAAGAGATACATAGATCTTTGGAACTAGTCCATCCATTTCAGTGAGGTGTCATTTCTTATTCTCTTCGAAGTAAAAGTCAAATCACTTGAGTACAGTGAAGAAAAGAAACCTAATCAATTGATAAAGGAGACATGCCAGCATTCCTGTCATTATTCACATTAACTAATTTCTCGTGACAGCACGGTTTATAAGTTCATCATTGTCATTCAACATGTAAATCACTGCTAATGAGCTAATATTCATTCCTTTCCATGTTCACAGACATTTGGGTCATGAGAGCAGTGACCCTGAACTTATTAAGTTGCCCATTGAATATCTTTGTCACCATAACTCTTAACCTGGCACACCCAGAATGATAGGCCCCTGGCTACACTCATAGCTAATCATTTGTTCATCCTGATATATTTAGTATTATTTTAGCTGACACCAATTAAACGGTATTGATTACTGTGGTTTGTAAGAAGGTGTTATTGCACGTTTAATTTAGCTGGATTATTGAATCCTCATGAGATGCAGTTGTGGGCATAATTTTATCTCCATCCCCCAAAATCTCCAGCAGCAGGCAAATGGGCTTCCTACCTTTGTGGACTTTTTGAAGGGGAATAGTTTTGAGCTCAGACTTTTCAATGAATATGTATTTCCTCTTAAAGGCATTCATCATTGTCATTATTCAGTAGTAAAAATAGAAAAGCAGTGAATAAATTGTACAGCTGCTGGTTGGGAAGGTTTGAAATTAAATTGTGGTTGATTTTATTCCTGACAGATTTTCATGAATCAAATTACAGAACTATAGTAGGTATTGCTGCAGTTTAATATACATATTTCTTGAAAGTACAATACGACACAAATAATGTATAATACTTTAAAATATTTACTTTCTGAGCAAAATATAACTAAAATAGCACATATGGTTTCAATAGACGAATTGGAAAGCTACCTAATCATTTTGACAGGGATTGTGCAGATAAACACTTACTTACATATGGAAATCTGCATTTAGTAGCTAATATGCTAACTAAGCATAACTAGAGATGAATGAGAAACATACACATAAGTAATATTTATTCTCATTTCAGAGTCAATATTGGAATTGTTGATTGATTGTGATTGTTTATATGTAAAAAGTTTAAAACATTCATTACATAGGCAATAGTATCATAATTTTGAAAGAATTAAATTTTTGCAAGTTTTAAACATATTAGGAATAATTCTCACTTTATTTTTAAGAAAAAATTATTGTATTTTGCCAAAATATAATTGCTATGATGATTTAACATCATCAAATCTTGCCTTAATGGCCGGACGCGGTGGCTCACGCCTGTAATCCTAGCACTCTGGGAGGCTGAGGCAGGAGGATCGTTTGAGCTCAGGAGTTCAAGACCAGCCTGAGCAAGAGCGAGACCCCGTCTCTACCAAAAATAGAAAGAAATTAATTGGACAGCTAAAAATATATAGAAAAAATTAGCCGGGCATGGTGGTGCGTGCCTGTAGTCCCAGCTACTTGGGAGGCTGAGGCAGAAGGATCGCTTGAGCCCAGGAGTTTGAGGTTGCTGTGAGCTATGATGACACCATGGCACTCTAGCCTGGGCAACACAGTGAGACTATGTCTCAAAAAAAAAAAAAAATCTTGCCTTAAAATATCTCATATGAAAGCATGAATGTGGGAATTCTTAGCATCACAAGTTTTAAGTTACTGAAAGCTTTGCCCTTGAAAGTGTTAAATATTTTAAATCTTGTCGTTAAAGCAGAAATTATCCATTTAAGAGGCCCAACTGAAAGGATTTATCCTAATGCCTCCGCATACCTAATTTTACTGAAAGCCTCAGTTTCATTGGAGTATGAGAATTCTTGGGACCTCACCTATATCCTTACCTGACTCAGCATTCCCTGCACTCTGACTGGCAGCTGCCAATTCCAAGTATCTGTGACTGCCTTAGGGGTCTCTCTAGTCATCCAAGCCCACAAGTTGCAGGGAGTTAAAGCTCTGTATCCCCACACTCCCCAGCAAACCTCAACCAATAACATATGGCTTTTGGTGAAATTCACTGTTTCAGGTGGATAAAACATGCTGTGTTTTTGGTAACCAAGAGAATGGATGTAAGTGTGGAAATATGAAAAAAGCTCACAGATGTGTTGGCAGGAGAATTGGTCCTAATGTAGAATTTAAATGGAATCAAAAAAAATAAAAATAGCCCTTGTTTAACCTCAACAACACAAGGAAGGGCTGGTAGTGAGCTTAAAAAACCAAAAGTGGTATGAAACAAAGTTGTTCAAGTCTTCCTTGATTGGTTCATATCTTATTCATGGCTCTTGAGACCTAAAATAAGTTGTTAGGACAAGCAATGACCTAAGCAGTGAGGATTCATTCATTCCAAAAATATTTATCAAACTCTTACTATCTACCAGGCACTGTTCTAAATGCTTATAAAACAGAAAAAAAAGTAGATCCTGCCCTCATACAGCTTTTATTAGAGCAATAGAAGACAAAATATAAGCAAGCAAACAAACAAAAAAAGTATTGTGTATTTCAAAGTGATACATGTCATAAAAAGAGAATAGAGTCTGGTAAGGGGGTATAGCACAACTAAAGGCGTTGTTATAGCTGGAATGACAAGAGGGTCATTCCAATTTTAAATAGGGTAGAAAGGACATTTGAGCAAAGATTGGAAGAAGGTAAAGGAGTCAGCCTTGGTTATCAGCCTTGCTCTCTGGGTGGAAGAAATAGAGGAAAGGCCCAAATGTGGGAGTGAGCCTATCTTGATCAAAGAACAACAAAAAGGCCGGAGTGGCTGAAGTAGAATGTGCCATGGAGAGGGTACTAGGAAACGAAGTCCCTAGTACCCTAGAGTCCAGATTGTAAAGGGCCTGGTGGGCCATTGTAAAGACTACCTTTCCCTCGGAGTGAGATGGGAGCCATTGTAGGTTTTGGAATAGTAGAGTGACATGATCTGATTTATGTTTTAAAGGGATCATATTGGCCCCTGGGTTGTGAGTACCAAGGGGGCCAAGCAAGGAGGCCAGCTAGAGAAGAGATAGATGCTGGGAACTTGAACTAGGTTGGTAATGAGAGAATGTCAGATTCTGGAAATGTTTTCAAATTAGAGATAGTAGATTTATATCTATATTCACAGAAAAACTTAAGCATGTGTGTATAAAGACCCATTCTCAGCAGATTTGGGGCTCAGGAGAATTTTGGTGTCCTATGAACTTGGCAGAGGATCCCTTGAGGGATGTAAGATTTCTTCTCTCATATTTTGTTTTCCCATACATCAGTCTTGCCTTGAAGTGGGGAAAAAAGTACTGGCATTGGAGATCTTTAACACTCTGGTCAAGATCTTTCTTCTTGGGAATCTATTTCATAATATTTAAGCACAAATTTAATAATACCAATTAGTTAAATGAAGACAAAACTACACCATGAGCAAAGTGACTGCTTTTCTATTCTGGTATGAGAGGAATTAGATAATAGCAGGAAGCAGCATATATACCAATCTGAAGAAAATATCTGAACGAAGTAAAAGAATGATTGTTTATGTGCATACTGTAATACAGGGGCATGCCCTATAAAAGTGATGGATTTTTTTTTTTTACTGATTTAATAATATTGCAACCAAAGGATATTGCATTTATTCTAAATTAAATAATCATGGATCATACACAATTTCAAAACAAAATTCGATTCCAAATGCTTTTTGAATTCTATTTAAATTTTGTAATATAACAGTTTGGTACATGAAAAATATGATTTTTACTAATGTACTGCCACATTATAAAAATTGATTTTTTCAGACTATGAACATTTGGAATAATGTAATCATTCAGTGATTTCTCTGAGGAAAATCACGTTTTTTTCAACTAACACATTTATTCATTTATAAATATAATTCCTATTTTCAACAGCTTTTATGATTTGGGATTCATTTGTTTGATTTGCTATATATAAATTCATGTATTACTTTACAAATATTAATCTATCAACTATAATTTAAATCCT